GGAAAGAACGAGGAGAAGAGAGAAGAGGGACGGCGCTCTCCGTTCATTGCGTAACAACGTTTTCTAGTCCGCTGCTTCGCGAAATACGCTCGCGCGGTATTTTGCTCGCGCGCTCGCTCGCGGAGGTGGTGTATCTGCGCGCATAGTGTTGACGAGACGTGGTGGTTTCCCGTGATCGTTGTCGTTATCGTCGTCGTCGCGTCGTGGTCGAAAAGGCGAGTTCTATACGCGTGGTAACAGCCGCTAGAACGAGCGATGGAAAGTAATCGCGCGTTTCACTCCGTTCAGCGCGAAACGCGAGTGTTCAAGGTCACCATCGCTGATATATCCCACCGGTAATACCTCCATTTCCGGAGTTACTATAGAGCGGTCATTATCATCGTCATCATCATCATTATCATCATTATCATCATTATCGTCGTTGTCATCATCAACTGGGTAGCACCACCGCGGTGGAAGGACTCGACGCGGTATTCGCGTGCGAATTTAACCTGTCTCTCTCTCTCTTTCTCTCTCGGTTCGCGATCGACAGCGCGCTCGCTTTTACCTCGCCGCCTCGTCCGGGCGCAAGAAGTTTCGCAAAAGGGATTACAACACGCAGAAGAGAAAGGAGACAAACAGACGGAAAGGGAGACGCGGAAGGGAAAAGGACAGCGAAGAAAGAGAGAGACAGACCAAGACGGAGAGGGAGACAAGGGGCAAGAGGAGGAGGAAGAAGAGGAGGAGGAGGAGAGGAACATACCGCGATACGACACCCGTGTGCGGGAAAACCGCAGGAGGAGGACACGGATCTCTCGCGCGGAGGACGGGAATCCTCGCGACCGTCGCGTGGTTCGACGACGAGGACGAGGAAGGCCGGAGGAAGTCGAGGGCTCGCTCTCTCGGAACGAGGAGAAAGAGGCGGAGGGCAGACAGACCGTGTAGGACGGGTCTGAAAGACGATCCGGATGTGGCGAGAGCCGCTCGCTTTCCGCTCTACCGCTCCCTTGTCGATTGTTACCGACATTGAATTCGCGGAAAAGAGTATCGTCGTCGTCGTCGTCGTCGACGTCCGTATCGCTGTGTTGCGCGAAAAATTTGGTAATCCGCGATAAAGGTGCTGGTTGGAGAACCGCCACTACGGGGGGGGGGACACACGGCCGAGCGGAATTAAAAGCGCGTTTAAAAAGGTTAGCGGGATAAAAAAGGCGCGCGCGCGAAAGGATAAGAGAAAGGAATAGGAGCCACCTCCGAGTCCTTGAGAGTACCCAACGGGTAAAAGTGCCGCGCGCAGAGAGCCAGCCGGTTGACCCTGGACAGTCAACGGAGCAGACTTCGCGAAAAAAGTTCTTCCCGTCGTTGCCGTCATCGTCATCGTAGTCGTCGCCTTTCTTCATCATCGCGGAAGGATCGTCGACGAATCTGTTCGCTGTGTACGTCGATCCATCGGGAACGCGCGTTTTATATACGTAGTGCGCGTGCGAGAGGGAAAGCCACGTGCGTGTGACATCGAGCGAGCGCGCGTTCAAAAGAGCCGAACGAAACGCGATGACAAGGAGGATTGGAAGAAATAGCTAACCGGTGAAAATTCGCCGATCTCGTTCAACCGGCTTTCGAGATTGATTTTCGTTCAATTGTTCGTCGAAGAACGCGTACCCACACCAAGTGTGAAGTGTGATACATAAAGTGTCGGCGTCGCCGATCTTTCTCGACAATCCGTATTGGAGTACCTTTCGTGTTTGAGTTTATCTTTCTCGTTCGACGTTGTTGCTACTGATCTGTTTCTCTCGTGCTCTCAGTGAGTGATCCATGCCGTGGAATATCAATGTACGTCACGTGTCTACAGCGTCGTTCACGTTGCCGCTGTCACAGGATCTCGGCTCCTCGTCGCCGGCTCGCAAAGAGGATGCCTTCATGTTCGACGTGACACTCCTGAGGGATACATATATATATAAATAACGTGTCGCGTTATTTATCCTGGATACTTTTGCCGCTCGCACATTGGATATCAGCAGAAAAAGCGTAAGGTGAGAAAAATGAACTACATAACTCTTACGAGTATGTAATGCTGATGATTCTTTCTCTCTCAGTTACATAATTCGTTCTTTTCCTTCTCGAGAATCTATTTCTTTACGAATATCGAAATGATGTCAGCTGATGCGTATTTCTGTCGCGTTAATTACGCTATCGCCCTGACAGATTCTCGAGTAAAGTCTGCGTTGCATAAGACGATTGAGAAATTAGCACGTTCGCCGCCACATGCATCTCGCCGCGGTTTATTTCTCACGCCAGCGATATGTTTTACGCTTGTGTATTGGCGGCCAAACTTAACGTAAACAATCGACAGGTGCTGTAAATGTCTTGTACCGTATCGACAAGTGCAGATAAACGCCTGTATACTGTAAGTTTTGTTTCTCACGCCGGTCATGTACCGCCGGCGATATATGCGGCAGTGAACGTGTCAATTTCACCTTCTTTCTGGCGAGTCGAGCGATTTCAAATATATATCGTTCAAATAGAGTTTTAGGGGCAAATTATACCGCCAAGTTGCGCGAATGGAACAACTTTGACAATTTTATTATCGCCGGTGCATAATATTTTGATATTACAAACAGATAGATCGAATAGAAGGAAGGAGAATAATTAAGGATAAATTGCGCTGCAACCTCTTGGGTTAAATGGTCTCGATCTTTCTCTCTGTTATTGCTGGCATCCGATATTTTGATAATAGGTGAGTCGGCCGTTCGCGCTGTTAGCTCGAGCCCGGGTTAAAGATGATCGATGATGTAATGTTGACATAAGCGTTGGAAAATGTTTGCGGCCACTTTTACGGATATGATAGGATAAAGCGAAAAGATACAGGTATCGATCCCCGCGCAACGACGATCATGCATTTAGTTACGCGATATACATGACGATAGCGATTCTTTTCGTTTTTACCGATATATATGTACGAATTTCCGTTCGTATTCAGGGACATCCAATCTTTCGCCAAGTCATCACCGGCTTATCGCCGTCGACGACTCATTGTCGTCTTTTGTTATCCGCGAAACGATGAAATTGCGGGCGATAATGAGGCAATTGTCCCGCGACGGTGAACTGACATTTCGATTGGATGCAAGAGACAGTGTGAATTAATGCAGCGACGTAATTGGTAGCAAAAACGAGACGACAAGGCCTAACGCGCCGCGAGGGACAGATAGATGGATTGCGGCGAACCGCGCCGACAATGGGAAAATATGATCGGTGGTGTATGCCACCGAACACACAAGTGACATAGTTATTGCTTCTTAAAAAAAAAAAAGAAACAACTGTTTTTCTCCATCTGTGAAAGTTTGCGCTGAGCAATATCCGCTAAACAATAATTAGCTTCGCTGAGCCAACAAAGTGCAAATCTTCGTTGCTTGTCACGCGGGATATTTATTTCATCCTGCAATTCTAATATTCCGCGAGAAAACGTTATTGTCAGACGAATACATAAGCATAATGTGCGTACGATCAGAAAAACATGCGTAAATTATTCGATATTGATATGCACAGGCTTGAAAAAAAAATATACTATATTGCAAGAAAGTACTAATAATAAACGAATTTATGCCGAATGCATTTTTAACGAATAAATATGTTATATTAATCCTTCTTATTATCGATGGATTCGTAAAAATTCTGAAGGCACTTGACGATATGCTGGCTATTTTATTTAAAATTGTCTTGGAAGATAGGAAAGCAAGAAAAACAGGAAACGCGAGTGAGACCGTAGTACAGAGGCGCGAATAAAGCGCGCTCTTAATATCATATGCAGCTTATAGCAGGCAGCTATAAAATCTCTCGCGAGGAGGTAGGAAGGTAGGAAAAAACTTCTTCTCAGTATAATAATTCAAGTTCACAGAGAGTGGCACCATGGAGTCGCGGATTATTATGGACAAGCGTTGTGTAACCGTTTTCAAAGAAAAAAAAAAAAAAAAAAAAAAAAAAAAAAACGACGACAGGGTAGTTTTTCGCGCCCTTTAACAAGACTGCCAAAAAGAAATTTCGATATTACTCCTATCTACCGGCGCATGAGGAAGAATCTAACAATAAGCGACGTTTACTAAGCGGTTAAACAAATTTATTAAATCCGGTTATTTACGATGCGAAACGCGCTGGAGGATTCAATTCCTGTCCTTCTTAAGCAATGTAATTGAACACGCGCACACGTTACTACCTGTAGAGAACACGACACAACGACTATTACCGTCTCTACTCTTAGCGAGAGAGTTACTTGGTAATTTTAATTATTTTTCGTAAGAGAAAAAAGAAACGACAGGGCGCCGCTGATTGATATTTAAGCATGCGAATTGATTTGCGGAATCGAGGATGACGAAGAATGTCTCCTTTTGCGGCCTTCCATTCTCGAATCGGGTACCGAACAAGTTCGGTCGATTACGCTATACTAGGCACTTTTATCCGCGTGAACGAATCCGGATGTATCTCGAAGCTTCCTCTTTCCGTTACGATTCGCGATACGTGTTATCCTTATCGATAGCGTACGGCTCGGTGATTTGGCGCTCTTCGAGTTTCAATCGGAGGCCAGCGTTACTATACACAACTTAAGGCATCTCGATATACCCGCAATAACGACGATAGATTGAGAATAATCT